AACCACTAAGAAGAATATATGCAGTGTATTATTTGTTGAAACTGTACTTCCGATTTGATTTGAAACTGTCTCATTGCTATCTCTTTATCAATAAAACTTTGAAAAATAAATAAATAAATAACAATGTCACATAACTTAAGTAGCATAAATATGTGAGAAATTATATTAGTAAAGAAAACATTTCTATCTATTCTTATAATGAAGACCAGTTAGCACTTAACCAGGCTTTCAATAAATCATTTCATTAATGTGTGTCACCAAATATTTATCCAGTGCCTTGTAAGAATCCACTACTATAGTATGAGTTTTGGGCATTGTTAAAATAGATAAGACATACTATTACATTTAAGACAATGTCAGGGGTCTGTAAACTGCGCTGTATGGCTAAACTGGTTGGTAGCTTTTTTGTATTACATTGAGATGAATAATTTTTATGTATTTAAAGAGTTGTAAACACAAAAAAGAACCCAAAAATATATGAAACACAGATCATATGTGTCCTACAAAGCCTGAAATATTTACTATTTGGCACTTCCAGGAAAAAAATTGCAAACCCTTGCTTAAAAGAGGTCACAATTTTAATTTTACAGATATAGAATATATGCAAAAACAATTAAAAACCCTTTAAAATAAAGCCTCCTAATAGTGGTAGTGTTGCTGCTATTTCTGTCAGGTGCTACTACTTTACACTATTATTTCATTTATTTCTCAAGACAAAACTATGAGAGATGTTCTTTTGCAATGGCCAGTTTACAGATAATTCAAAAGGGTCAGATAATGTGTGCTTAACTACCCAGCCAGTAAGTGGTGGAGCTATAATTTAAACCAAGCTATTGGATTCCAGACTCTAATCTCTGTGGTATTAGAGATTGCAAGTAAGAGCGCTACGGTTAAAAAGTAAAGAGAGTGAATTGCCCTTTAAAGGATCAGTGAAAATTTGGAGGAAATGTCCTTAAAGTGATATATAAAAGTGTTAACTTATTCCCAAAGAGAGGGAGGAAGGAAGGGTATTTGGAGTGGAAAGAATAAAATAAGCAAAGGTACAGGGACCTACAGGTCTACAGGACATGTGAGTGGGAGCCAACGTTGGATGTGGTAAGGAAGGGGGAGGCCTTCAGGGAGCGAGCAGAGCAGAGACTGGAAGGCCCTGTGGTCTGAACTTGAAGAGTCACAAATGCAAGTGAAGGATTCGTTTTATCCTGTAGTTTTTTCAGGACACTTTGAATATTTGTAAGCAAAAGCATAATACAATCACAGCTATATGGCAAGAAGATCATTCTTTTCGCTTAGAAGAGAGAGAAGGTTTCATGACCGTACTGCTCAGATCTCTTCCAAAAGATGAAACCTCTGTCCACATCACCATCACTAGAAGCAACATCTACATTGTCCCTGGGGCGGGTGTGCAGTTTATACAAGACAAAATTTGCATCACTAGACCGTTAATATTTTTACATAAGCGTGTGTGCCAGTTACATTCCTACAATGATTTTAGCACACATTCTTGAGTGTCAAAGTCTCCAAAATGAAAGAGGAATACTTGTCCTCCATAGACACCAGGAAGCCATAGAAATGTTTCGAATTTAGACATTGTGTCTCCTATTTACTGTTGCCTGACAAAACTTAACTGAGCATTCTTACTTTTGGTTTTTAGTACCTTCTTGACGTGATTTCACTGTTTAGTTCCAGACAAAGTTGGGAGCCTTGAGGCAAAAAGCAATGGTCAGACGAGCTCCCTGGTGGTGAGCTGGTCGCCCCCTGCTGGAGACTGGGAGCAGTACCGCGTCGCGCTCCTCGATGATTCTTCAGTGCTGCTCAACACCACGCTAAGGAAGGAGAAAACTGGATACATCGTGGATGGTGTGGGGCTCATCCCGGGAAGACAATACGAGGTACAAGTCACCGTAGAGAGTGGAAATCTGAAGAACACCGAGCGCTGCCAGGGCAGAACAGGTAAGCAGATGCAAAAGAAGGCATGGCTGCCGGAATTTTCATTTCTTCCCACTGCTAGTAACCACCACCAATGTCACACCCTAGTGCTCCCTGAATTGGAGACATGACAGGCTTGCAGGATAGCACAGGGCTTTTGATATTTAATACTGTTAAATTAGAGCATCAGACGGCCCTTCAACTAATAATGCTACTATTTTGTAAATGAACCGTGTTCTCAATGCCAAACGAGTAAGTATGCTGTCTGGGAATGAGGACTCATCCTTCCTGAGGACTCATCCTTCCTGCAGAAGAGGCTTTGCTGGTGATCTAATGTGGGTATTTCGGGCACCAAGGAGGGGGATGAAAGGGGATAGGAACCTGCCTGGATAGTAGGGAAAGGAGACCAGGATGCTGAACATGGCTTCCCGGCTGTCTCCATTCACTGCAATCTCTCAAGTGACTCCTCTGGACCTGTTTCCTCAACTTTTGAGTCAGAGACTTCCAAGTTCAACAATTCCATGACAATCCAAGTGATCTGAAAGATTCTACGCTGGAGGAGAAATTCAAATATCTTGTCTCTTAGCTTTGCCTGATAATGAGGAATTGACTATATTCATCCAATATTCCTATTAGAAGAATGTCAAATAAAATGATCAAGACAAAAGGCTCACTGTAATTATTACAGATTTTTCAGTAAGCTCTGCATCTTCTAAATTTCTATATCCATTGGAGAGTGACCAAAGATCTATGTAAGCTTAACCAAAGCTACTTGTAGTATTCACAGGACAGGCAACTTTGTACACTATAATATTTTCTCATAATGTTTCAAATAACTCAGAAATGTCAGATCTACAGTGGTGACAGCCTCGTGTTGGTGTGATTCTTAAAACTTTTCTTAAGCTACACTTACAAATGATGAGTAAAGTAATTTGAAGTGGCTCTTGGTGTAAATAGTTATTTCTATAAACTGGAAAATAAAAGTGCAGAATTCAGTTAGGATAGAATTATAGAAAATTTGTTTGATGCAGAAATCACCGTATAATTTCACATACTTGACTCTTTCCTAAATGGCTTTTCCTGTTGGTCTGTGGCACCAACACTTGGCTATTACTGATCTCTCCTAGAAACTGTAGTAATAAAATCTTTTTTATGAAGTAAAAACAGTTTGACTCTTTTGGTAAGAGGTGTTCTTAACCAGAAACCATTATTACCAACCACCTCTCTTAGCATTCGTTCCTCAGAAATAAGGAGAAGTATTTGACCTTTCCAGATTACTGGGGGTAACAAATACTCCACCTTTCACATAACCACTCTCACATAGACTTGTCTTTATGGTGTTGTGGATGACAGGGTTGTGGTAAATATTTTTTATGTCATAGAATATACAGGACAAGGTAAACTCTAATGAAGTGACACATGATAGAAAATAAATGACTTTATAGCAAGGTATTTTCCAGAAGTATTCTTTTTTAATAAGTATTCCTTATTTCTATGTTCATAAACCAAATTTCTTATGATAAGATTCCCTTCCTCTTAATACTCATAATCATTTAAAAATAGAAATGTTGAACTAGAACACTCCTGAGAATGGAAGAGACCAGCTCTCTGAAGACTATTCTAGAAGCATGTCTGAGGCCATCAATTCCCAAGTCTCCGCTGCTTTTTTCTCAGCTCCCCTGGCTGTCCTCCAGCTTCGGGTCAAACATGCCAATGAAACCTCGCTGGGCATCATGTGGCAGACGCCTGTAGCACAGTGGGAGAAATACATCATTTCCCTGACTGACAGAGACCTCCTGCTCATTCACAAGACCCTCTCCAAAGACGCCAAAGAGTTCACTTTCACTGGCCTGGTCCCTGGCCGAAAATACACAGCTACTGTGACCAGCATCAGCGGAGACTTGAAAAATTCCTCTTCAGTGAAAGGAAGAACAGGTAATAATCTTTATGAACCTTAGATTTCATAGTGCTGTCTGCTGGATTATCTAGCACGCTGTTGCAGGCCCCAGCAGTGTTTATTCCATACCGCTTATGTACTTTGCATTCTTTTATGTGTCCTTTCTATTGTTATTTTCTGTTGACCAAATTCAGCTCTTATCTTCATTAATTCCCTCTTTTTACCTTGCCTGGGTTTCATTGTGTTAACACTGAGTAGAGAATAAGCCGCGCTCTCCCCCCAGGAGTTTTGTTACAAAGAGAACAGAGAAACTGAATAGCGTAGGGGAGAGGAGGCTTGGCTGAAAAGATCATGCGTTTTTAAGCACAGAGGTCATAGCATGCTATATGCTGGTGAGAATGATCTAGAAAAGAGAAAAATAAAGATCTTGAGAAGAGAGAAGACGACTCTCCTGCACATAGCTAGTGGTCTTAGGGTTTAGAGCACGTGGCGTTGGCTCTAGAAAAGAGCGTGTGCAATTTAACTTTAGTGCTGGCTGGGGAGGAAAGAGTTTGAGTGCAGATACCAGGAGGTGGATAGATGCACCGTCATGCTGTTACTCTGCAATTTCTCTCATGCTCTTGGTGAAATAGGGAACACTGTTCTCAATGGCCCTTTCCAATTTCTGCACTGTTGGTAACTGGTATTTCCCTCTCGTTTTCTAGCTTCACAACTATTCTATATAGAATATAATTGTCTTAGCCTCTTAGATTTAGCTACCCACTTACCACTTGCCCCATTATATTTCCTTTCTGTACTGTAGGAGTTACCTATTATTTTCCTCCATCCTAAAGCATATTCTTCAAATTTCCTTACTGAGGGTTCTTAGAGACAAGCTCTCCCTTTTTGCTTTTCTGGGCATGTTTTTATACAGCCTTCAGTCTTGCAGGGTATTTTCATTTTCTTTCAGTGCATTGAAGATGTTATTTAGTTTTTTCAAGGCTTTGTTGTTACTGCTCCCACTACTGTTGCTGTTGTTGTTTGAGACAGGGTCTCATGTATTTCAGGCTGGCCTTGAGCTCATTTTGTACCCTAGATTGGCCTCAAACAGACTCACTCCTGCCTCAGCCTTCTGAGTCCTAGGATTCCATGTGTACGTCATCACACTGTTGCTTTTGAAGTCAGTTGTTGTCAGTTGAATTCCTATTTTACTATGAGAAATCTACTCACTGTGACTATTTTCAAGGTCTATTCTTTATCTTTGATTTTTTTTGTTCCAAGATACTGATTTATATATCCAAATATTTTTCATTTATCCTGCTGTATTCTTTTTTTTTTTCCTGAGGGTAGGGGGACCAGGAATCAAACTCAGGACCTTGCACTTGCCACACAGGCACTGCACTGTTGAGCTGTATCCCCAGCCCTATCCTGCTGTTTTCAGATTGTCATCCCTCAACCCTGGTGGCACTCAGCTATTAACTCGTCTCAGTTACTCTTCTCTTGTTGCTGGGACAAATACCCAACACCCAAGTGAAGGAAGGAAAGGTTTATTTAGCTCACAGTCAGTGCAGGCTTCAGTATATACTCAGCTGGCTCCCAGGCAGAATGACACATGACCCAGAGAGCAGCCATTCATGGCAGTAGCAAAGAGCAAGAGAACAAAAGGAGTGGCAGCAGCTCAGGCAGCTAGCTAGGCTCTCTCTCTCTCTTCCTTTACACTGTAATGCAGAGTATCTGCCCTAGGGGACTCACACCCATAATCTTAGCATCAATCACAAAGTCCAGAAGCTACCCCATGACCGCATGAGGGTTTAGAGGGACAACTAGACACAAACCATTACATTCCACCCCTGGGCCTCCAAAGACTCATGTACATCCCTTTGTGCAAAAAACATTTTAGTCCATCTCTAAGAGTGCCAAAGTCCTACAGTTTCAGCATTGCTGAAAAGTCCAAGTCCCAACTCTCTTCCAAGATCCAAGGCAAACTCTTAGCTATGAGCCCCTGTACAATGAAAAGTTAAATACTTCCAACATTCAATGGCACAAGATAAACATTACCACTCCAAAAGGTACACACAGCAGGGGAATACAACGCATTGGAACCAACACAGGTCCAAAACCTAGCAGGGCAAACATTAAGTCATGTAGTTCCATGTGAAATATCGGAAGCAATCTGTGGCAAATTATGAGCTCCATGCGGCTCCATCTCCATGGCTTTGCTTCTGGTAGCTCCCATGGCTTCTCTCCTAGGCCAGCTTTGCTCCCACCTTCCAGCTTTTCTTAGGTGATCCATGTACCTGGCTTTTCCAAATTTCTAGAGTTTCCACTAAATAAGCTTCTCACTCACAGCTTTACACACTGCCCTCTCAGGTGCACACTGCCTGGCCTCCCAGCACTTATGAAATCTAGATGGAGGCCTTCTTAGCTTCAGAAGTTTTGTGCTCTGCAAGTGCCTAAAACCAATGCCACATGGATGCTGCTAAGGTCTGCTGGCAGTAGCCAGGCTTTCTTCTGTCTTGGCTGTAGGGGTCGAGTGCCCAGATTGCTGAGCACTCTGACCCTGATTCCAAGGAACAATTTTCCATGCCTGCACCATTCTGGAACCTGGTGTAACAGCTGCTCCCATTCTGGAACATGGCACTCTGTGGTTTTTTCCCCCAAGGTGAAGCCCCTCACCCTTGCAGTTCTGAGACTGCAAAGCATGGAGACTTGCCACTTCCTGTGATGCCCTCAGGCCATCCTTTTCATTCTCTAGTTCCTTCTCAGCAATGGAGATCCTCTCAGCTCTATCTTTGTGATCCACAGCTTTATTGGAGCTTCCTTTCTGCCCAAATGTACATTTTAAATCCTCCTGCTGGGCTCTTTGCTCTTGATTTTCACCATAAATCTAGCTCAAAGCCCCCAACAATATCCATGCTACTGCATCAATATTTGGCTGCTTTGAAATTTCTTGTGAAAGATTAATCAGTCCATCATGCTAAATCTCAGTCTCAGGCAAAATCTCTGGACACAAACAAAATGAAGACAAAATTCCTGCCATGCGATGACACAAATCATCCGGAGTCCAACAACCAATGCAGTCCTTCTTCCATAGGAAGAACTCATTCATTCATTCCTTTTATTTCTGCACACCAGGGGAGGGGTAGTGTACAGTCCTTTGCACATGGCAGTAGAAACCTCCTCAGCCTTGTCTTACAGGCAGGATTTCTATCAACCTTTTGGTCTTCTGAGCTCTGACCAGAATCTCTCATACAAAACAACTAGTTGTTCTAGCACTTCTCTTATAACCAACATCTCCAAATCTTTCCTATCTCTTACCATAAGCCATTCCTAAAAGCTTCTAATCCATATGGTCAGGTATAGCCACAGCAATGACCCTACTCCTCCAGTACCAAATTCTGTCTTTGTTACTCTTCCCTCATTGCTGGGACAAAAATACCCGACACCCAAAGTAAAGAAAGGAAAGGTTTATTTAGCTCACAGTCAGTGGAGGCTTCAGCCCACACTCAGCTGGTTCCAAGGCAGCATAGCACATGATTCAGAGAACAGCCCTTCATGGCAGCAGCAAAGAGTAAGGGAGCAAATGGAGTGGCAGCAGCTCAGGCAGCTACCTAGCCTCTCTCTCCCTTTACACTGTAATGCAGAGTATCTGTTCCAGGGCACTCACACCCATAATCCTAGCATCAATCACAAAGTCCAGAAACTGCCCCATGACCACATGAGGGTTTAGCAAGACACCTAGACACAAACCATAACATAACTCTTCACTATTGTCACTTCCCTCTCCTCTGCTCCCTATCATTTCTGCTAGTCCAGAACGTGTGTGTGTGTGTGTGTGTGTGTGTGTGTGTGTACAGCCACACACACACACACACAAGCACACACTTCATAATTTCCATGTGTTTACTCTCTGGACTGTAGTCTAGATAATCTCCTCAGCTCCTTGCTTCAACCCATTAATTCTTCCTCTGACTTCTTCTAATCTATCCATTGAGTTCTAATTTTAATTGCTTTTCACTTTTAAATATCTTCTTTGGTTGTCTTCAAAATCTATGCTGTGATCTTTTACTCCTTAGTTACATTTTTCTTCTTCTTTATTATTACTGTAAACTAAAATTTTTGTTTCACATTCTATCTGATGAATATAATATCTGAAATTCACTAGTTAGGACCTAACACTCTTGATTTTGCTTCTTTTCGTTCATGAAGTTTTATTCCTTAGATATTTGTGATTTTTTTTTACTAAGCTAATATTCCTTGAAATTTTATTTCAAGAATTCTTTGAGGTCTTGTTTAAAGGTGGATTTCAGAGATTTTTTGGTTTTACTTTCAAGTGTGCAGGACCACTGTCAGCCAAGACCTACTTTAATGTAGGTTGTCAATCTGAGGCTTTTTGGACACCAGATTTTATGAATTCAAATAGTAAACACCTTGAAGCTATCTTAGAATTATGAATTCTCAAAGTAAACATTTTATCTTCACTCAGTGAGTGCTAAGAAGGCTAGGGTGGTGTGAGGAATAGAAATGAAATATTATTTCACTGGCCCTTGGAAAGTAGTTTTCAGGATCCGCTGTGATGCAGTCGACTACCAGTAAGCTTCTTCAGCCTGAGAAGGTCCTATATTTTATGCCCCATTCCTGAGATCCTGAAATGCTATTAAATCAAAGCTTAAGTTTATGTTTGACAGGTGGATCATTATGAGTCCAATCTAGCAGTGAGACCCTGAGCACCCTGTAGACCCTTCTCTAAAAATAAAAAAAATAAAAAAA